CTCCTACCTGGGCTGGTGGAATACGCGCGTCGATTCGGGGATCGATTCTTGCGTCCCGAAGAGACGCGATAATTCGATCCCTGAGAGATCGATTTCTACCTGCCGATCCAGGCGGGTAGTGAAGATAAGCCCTCAATGAAATCAGTGGGAGCCCTGCTATTGACATCTGTGGATTTTGGAGTGTGCCTTTAGACTTGCTGAATGTCTTTGATTGGCTAGCCTTCCACTAGCTAGCTTGTTTGCACCCTGTCTTTGCAGCCCTGTCTTTTTTTTTCTGAGATATAGTGTGAAATGTAACTTGCCCTTTAGTTACTCCTTTTAAGTCAATTCAGCTTATGCATCAACTCTGTTTTACTTGGAGTCTGACCAGCTCTTATTTTGAAGGTTGTGCTGTTAAGGAATAGTTCCACCACTATTTGTGTCTTCAGTTAGAAATAAACTATGATTGACAATCTTAACAACTGGAACTAATTTGAATTTGTTCCTTCAAATGCAGTTTAGGTTGGTAGCCACAAAAACCCCTGAAAAAAATCCATGTAGGAAGTATAAGCTCTTATGAACATTGCGATGGTTTGTAGGAACCTCTTAAAATGCATAGATAAATCAATTTCTCTCTTTATGCGAATGGGAAAGTTGTTTTCTTTGCATCTGTTCTATAAAGTGAGTGTGGGTGGGGAGCTGAAAGCACTGTTCAATGAGCATTTTTAACTCTATAAAATAGGAGGCTACTTCTTCCACTATACAACATTTAGGCCATGTCTTCTGTACCACTTATGTCGGTATAACTTATGTCGCTCAGGAGTGTGGAAAAAAACCTCTCACACCCCAAGTGACATAATTTACACTGACATAAGCACCAGTGTGGACAGTGCTATGTCGGGGGGAGAGCTTCTTCTGCCCACATATCTGCTGCCACTTGTTGGGGGTGGTTTAATTATGTCGACGGGAGAGCTCTCTCCTGGTGGCATAGAGCAGCTACACGAGAGATCTTACAGCAGTGCAGCTGCATCGGTACAGCTAGTGTAGACATAGCCTAAGAGTAAGACCTATTTACCATGTGTGAGTAAACCTACCACTCTTCATGTGTAGGACGACAAAGGTTCTGCTACAGTGCAGATTTTCTGAACACTGAGCCGACTGGTCTGATATTCTACTTATGGTAGGGCCTTCAATCTGACACTTCAGAACCCAGGGATAGTAAATTATTTTTTTGTCAAGGTCCAAATTTCTTGGTCAAGGTATAGTCAAGGTCCAGACTCCAGAGGAGGAGAACAAAATTAAAAAATGACAAAACAAATAAAAGGAAGTTTTTCTTCACACAGTGCACAGTCAACTTGCCTGTGCAAGAACTCCTTACCTGAGGAGGTTGTGAAGGCTAGGACTATAACAGCGTTTAAAAGAGAACTGGATAAATTCATGGAGGTTAAGTCCATTAATGGATATTAGCCAGGATGGGTAAGGAAGGGTGTCCCTAGCCTCTATTTGTCAGAGGGTGGACATGGATGGCAGGAGAGAGATCCCTTGATCATTGCCTGTTGGGTTCACTCCCTCTGGGGCACCTGGCATTGGCCAATGTTGGTAGACAGGATATTGGGCTAGATGGACCTTTGGTCTGATCCAGTACGGCCATTCTTATGTCATGATGATGATGATAAGTAGTAAATAAAAAGGTTTTGGGGCCCATTCAGAGGCATCTGGCAGTCCAAATTTGGCCCACGGTCTACCTATTGACTACCCCTGCTTCAGAGGAAGCAGTAAAATTCACCAATGCTTGTATTGTTGTTCAAGGAGGAGGACTTCTTTCCTGATCCTTTACAAGTGATCAGTTTATGCACTGAAACATGAGGTTTGGTTACTCTTAACCCAGTGTGACAGACCCAGACCAGTGGGGTACAGGAGTCTGGTCGAAGGCAAATATACTGGTCACTGGATGAGTAGTTTTCTGTTCCCTGAGTGACCAGAGCAGGGGCTGCACTAGAGTAATCAGGAACCTGCTAGAACCAGTTAAGGCAGGCAGGCTAATTAGGACACCTGGAGCCAATTAAGAAGAAGCTGCTAGACTCAATTAAGGCAGGCTAATCAGGGCACCTGGGTTTTAAAAGGCGCTCACTTCAGTTTGTGGTGCGAGTGTGAGGAGCTGGGAGTGAGAGGGTGTGCTGCTGGAGGACTGAGGAGCATAAGCGTTATCAGACACCAGGAGGAAGGTCCTGTGGTGAGAATAAGGAAGGTGTTTGGAGGAGGCCATGGGGAAGTAGCCCAGGGAGTTGTAGCTGTCATGCAGCTGTTACAGGAGTCACTATAGACAGCTGCAGTCCACAGGGCCCTGGGCTGGAACCCAGGAGTAGAGGGCGGGCCCGGGTTCCCCCCAAACCTCCCAATTGACCTGGACTGTGGGTTCTTCCAGAGGGGAAGGTCTCTGGGCTGTTCCCCAACCCACATGATGAATCTCTGAGGCAAGAAAATCTGCCAATAAGCACAGGACCCACCAAGATAGAGGAGGAACTTTGTCACACCAGTCATAGCTCAAGTAAAAATGTTCTTAATGATAAAATTATCCAGTGCTTTTTAAAATCAGGCTCCACTATTAATCAGTGAATTCTACATGTTGCATAGAGAATGATTTCTTTTTATTGGTTCAAACTGTTCTGCACTTTATTTTCACTGGGCCAAACGTATGCTTCTCCCACTGAAGATTTTCTCACTGTGCCTGTTCCAATAGACTGGAAAACATTGGTGAGTACTTGTGACTTTCTTATTGTGCCTGGGATTACTCCTTTTTATCACAGTGGTTGCTTAGTGGGACCAAGCTGTTTGTTATGATCAGATGCTGATGTACAGTAGAATCTTGCCAATCAGCACTCTTTCTAATTGTCCCCACATTTTAACACGTTTACTTATATAATTAAGACTTAATTGGACAACTGGTATAAATGGCTTAACTCCACAGACTTCAATAAAGTTATACTAATTTGCATCAGTGGAGGATCTGGCTCCATTGTTGATATAAGAAGACAGAAATAACTTCCTTATATACTTTTAAACACTATAATGAAAATAATTTAAAACATTACAATATCTAAAAAGGTACATACAGGGCTTGATCTTTCTCCCAGGCTTGGCAGGCTCAAGCATATTGTATTGATTATCTTGCTTTACTTGTTTGATCACTCAAGTCCTGATCCTGCCAGGGGTTGAGCACCCTCTGCTCCTGCTGACTACAGTGCTCAACACCTTGCAGGTAAACCCTAATCCTGTTTGAAGACGTGCCAAAACTCCCATTGACCTCAGTGGGAGCAGGAGTTGTCCCTTACTCACTGAGGAGATGGTTAAGCGTCCGCAGGACTATGTGAATAACTTTAGTCGCATGAGTAATTCCCATGAATTTAATGGGACTATTCATGTGGTTAAAGTTACTCACATGTGCAAGCACAGCAGGACTGGACCCTAATTAGCCAAATTCAATTATTCACAATGGGTCTCCCAGCTGTGAGTGGGAATTAGTTAGGTTCTGCTGTACTCTAACGGAAAAGCTTCTAGAGTGAGCCTTTCATAGAAGTTAAGGATTAAAGTCATTCCGTCTGACATCTTCTCCCCAAAGGAATGAATAATAGCATAAAAGAGAGATGACAGCTCAGTTTAATAAGCCTTGTAGGTGGTAGGCAGAAATACTGAAAATCTATAGGCAGGAACAGTCTGTTTTTAATTTACATTATTAGTATAATTGCAAAAATTCAAGCTACAGTAATTTTAGACTTTCACAAACATACAAATGTTAAGATTTGGTAACACCACCTTTCTAACTAACTTGTTTTTCAGTGTTTCAATAGTAAAAGGATCCAATATGCAGGCCCATGTAAAATCTTTGAGACCCCAGAGGAAACCAGTGAAAACCACTTGTCATGCCCAATATTTCCAAAGTTAAAATCAAGTGGGGAGTAGCGGGGGGGGGGGAGGGGGTGGTGGTATCCCTTTCAGGTTTTCAAAGGAATAGCTGGTCACCTTAAAATGAGATTTTGGCATTTGGAGAACTACAACCAGGCCTATCTTTGTGCTTTAGAGTCATATTGCCACAATATCAGTTGATATACATACAATACTGTATGTTGTATGAAGTATTACTTGATATGCATGGTATGTTCCCTACCAGATTTGCACAGGCTCAGGTCAAGCTGTATTGTTATCTTTATGATCTCTTTTAATTTACTTGAAAACATGAACATCAAGGGTCAGCTACAACTGCAGTCTCTGAAGGGGTGTTAAGGGAGCACAAGGACCAGCCCCTTCTTATGCCACAAAATGGCAAGTGGGGACTGGGTGACGGCCCCATTTCTACCCCACTGCAGTTGTCTGTACAGGACTGTGTATGTGACAGCTGCATATCTCTGACGTGCACCAGTGAGTTCACAAAATGATTGTAACTTAAAGGTATGGTCTAGCTCTAAATCCTTTAATGTAGTCACATTGTGCCACACCTATGGCTCACGGTGGGGAACCGTTACTAACATGAAGTCCTTGAGCTACTAGAAGAGACTTGTATTTGGAAAAGTCTTTAATTTGCTGTAATTGGGATTCACAGATTCATAGGTTCCAGGGCCAGAAGGGACCACTGTGATCATCTAGTCTGAGCTCCTGTATAACACAGGCCATAGAACTTCCCCCAAATTCCTAGCACCAATCTGTTAGAAAAACATCCACTCTTGATTTAAAAATTGCCAGTGATGGAGAATCCATCACAACCCTGGGTACATGTTCCAATGGTTCATTACTCTCACTGTTAAAAATGTACACCTTATTTCCAGGATGAATTTGTCTAGCTTCAGCTTTCAATATCGAGTATATAAATCTGTATATTTGGCTGCATTACTTAAATCAGTTTCACATTTCTTTTGGAATAATGAGTGTTCTGAGTTTTAACCAAATAGCTCATAGTTGTCAGTTTATCATGCAGCATGTAGTATGCATGCTTTACGTTTAATTGGATCTATTGCTTGAAACCAAAATTTCATTGTAACCTTTTTATTAGACAAGTAATTCAGTTTCTGAGCAGCCCTGTCAGCAACATCTTTAAAATTATCTATGTGGGATAAAGTTTTTGATCATCCATGTTTAGTTTATGTTCCCAGAAATTAGGCATAGGGTCTTTTGCGTATTGGGTCTTGAGTAATGTAAAGAGCAATGCATCCTTCCGCTCTCTTCCAGTGGTACCTTCAAAAATACAGAGAGAGATCATATAATGTAAATTAATGTATTTGTAATGCAGGGGGAAATAATGGGGCCTAGTTCTGATCACACTTATACTGGTCTCATGCTGGTGTAAGCCCATCGACTTCAGTGGAGTTACTCTTCACAGACACTGATATAAGAGAGGTCCAAAGTCCGTTTAGGAAGCAAGACACAAATTAAACCAGATGAAATAATCAAGTAGGTAAAGGACTACATTCTGCTTTGTTACATGGGAGTAGCAGCAGAGTAACTCCACTGAGCACTGAATTTAGTTCAAAAAGTCCACATCTGAACCAGGATTTCAAACATCTGAACCAGGATTTCAAACACCTAAAAGTTCAGGAATGTTTGCATCTGGGATTGTGGTTTAGGGCCATCTCTCTTACTTATATACTTACTTATTTAATGTCTATTACAGTATTGACCAGAGCCACAGTCAAGATCATGGCCCAGTGTGCTAAATGCAGTCCATCTGTATAGTCAGAGAATCTCTGCCCCAAAGAGATTACAATTAAAGGTCCCAATCCAATATGATCTGCCTGGGTGGACCTTTTCGACCAGGCTTAATCCCACTGACTTCAATTGGATTCTAAATGGACCCACTCTCATTGATCAGATTGCAGGATTAGGGGCTAATTTAAAACAAGTGGGTTCAAAAACCATAGGAGGGTACAGTAGAGGGAGGGGTGAGTGAGTGTAAGAATCACATGTTTATAGAGAATAGTTTGGAGACAGCACTGTATAGTCAGGACAAAATTAAAAACGGTCACTTTAGATTTTGCTCTGCTTTAGTAGACAAACAAAATGAGGCCAACAACAGTCATGGGAAAACAGCATGCTATAGGGTCAAAGCAAAATGATTTCAAAACTAGAACAATCCTAAGTTTGTAAAGAGATGAAATAGAGGCTCTAATAACATTTTTATACCTCACATTTCTATAAAACTAAGAAATTATAGTTACTATTTAAAAAAAAAACTGCATGGCACTAAAATATTTTGTAGGTTACAATATAAAGACAATAGAACAAGATCATACACTACTGGGAAAATATTTAATCAAATAGATGGCATATGCCAAAGGGTAGCAATATGCTGTGTAGCACTTGTTATAAAACAAGGTAAAGGGGGTATGGGGCCCTCTGGCAGAGTATTTAGTGAAATTCTTAGATGTAACTTCTTATAGTGTTTTGGGTGGAAGTGGCCGGCATGTTAACAGAATTATAGATTTTTGGCTTAACTAACGACATTGAATGTGATTTTTGTGTGTGTGTGTGTGTGTGTGTGTACTCTGCTGTTATCTATTACAATGACTCTGTATTAAATCCTATTTAAAACATATTAAAAAGCTCACTAGATAAGTGGCCTGACTTTATAGTTCTGTGCACAATGAGATGGTTTCAAGGCTTCAGACAAGGTTTTTAGTGTTATAGGATGTTAATATAGTAGATCCAAAATCAGAAATATTTTTCTTGGGCTGGTGTTCCTCCAAAGGGAAAAAAAAAAAGTCAGCACTATCATCTTCCTGTACCCAGCTGTACTTACCAATGTGCCTGCATTATCCTTTATTTTTTGAGGAGGGGTGCTTTCTCTGCTGGGTGCCTGTGTCACTTTTAACAAGAGTTGGTTGGAAAATGACATTCTTCCAACTAAAATATGTTCCATTTTCCACTGGAAAACTTTTCACCAACTCTCCTTTGCAAATGTCTTGTCTGTCAGCAGCCTACTTAAGGATGGCCGTGCCATGATCCCCTTTCCTCACCAGGTTAATGCACATGGGAGAAAGCTGTGTTTCTGAACTGGAATCTAGATAGGAGGTGCTCATATACACCAGTTAGATCTGGTATCATGCTCAGGAAGTCCCCTTCTGAGGGATATGGGCTCTGGCTCCCCACCACCTTACCTGTACACACAGTCTTTTCTGTATCCTGGTTTTTCCAATGCTTTTAGTGAGCTATTTTCTCTCCCTGACTCCTCAAGAGGGGATCTAGACTGATCTGTCAGTGCCACCACATTTCCTCCTCAACATCCCTTTGTTTGAGTAATATTGCCTATGCTGATACTGTATTCATTGGGGCTATATTTTGATGTGCCAGTTGACATACACCCTAGTAGGTAGTGAATGAGTCTATTTGCTAGAAGTTTTGTGCAGCTGCCTTGCTCAAATAGGCATGCTCACAGGTCTCCTGTGTATCCCAGTATGGAATTGGGGCTTCTGTTGCCAAAACCATGCATAGAACCATTGTTCTGCGCTCACCTAGACAGGGCGGGGATGAGCAGGCTGTCATCAGCAGCTAGACTCAGTGTTTTACCATCCATAATAACAACCGATGTGCCTTCCTGAAAGACATGAACAAGTAGTTGGCTTTTAATTCTTCATGTGCTGTTCCCGGCAGAAAGAAAAAGGAAGCACTCAGTAAGAGCGCCTACCAGGAAAATCTAACATTTCCACAGAAATAAAGCTTGAAAACTGCTCCGTCCTACGTGGCCTTTGTTTAAACTTTAGTAGATCTTCCCTGCCTGACAGTTAGCAACAATAAAAATAAGGCTTCACACTTCATAGTCCCTCGGGTTCCCCATAGCTGATTCATTGCGGCTAACCTCACAGCCTGCTGATCAATATGTCTCCCTGGAAATCACAGGGCTAGACTCCTGGAGTATTTTTCAAGCTTCTTTTTTGAGATTTGACAAGCAGTTCACAAGTCAATGGAGAGCTGACAGAAATTACTGATAGGAGCTCATTAATACTGAAATGGACTCATTACTATCCCGTCAGACAGCCATACTTTGAGACGCCAGATTCTTGCCAGCATTAACAGGGTCTTGCCTGCTGTATCTTCTACCAGCAGTACACACAAGTTCCTTTTGAGGGTTTTTTTTTTTTTTTTTTGGTTTAAAATTAGCATTTGATGGTCAATCCCTGCAAATTTTAACAGAATAGGAACTACTGGGACTATCTGGCAGCCTGCCTGATTTATGTAAATGGGAACCTTTTTCTTCTGTTCTCTTTTCTGCTGGGCTGCAAATCTTCTCTGCTTTGTTTTTGGGATCCTGGGTGACCAGATGACAAAGGTGAAATATCGGGACGCGGGGGGGGGGGGGGGGGAGAAAAGCTGCCAGAGGTGCCCCCCTGCCCCGCACCAGCTCGCCTCGGGACCCCTTGGAAACCTGAGGCATAGTCTGGGCCCCCAGGGACCCCAGGTTGAAAACCACTGCCGAGTTCAGCCAGCCCCTCCAACCGTACCGCAGGTGTCAGGGGAGCCCAGCAAGGGACAGGCATGATGAGGACCACAGCTGAGCAGTGCAAAGAGGAGCAGAAACGCCCACGGAAGGAGCTGCGCCCACGGAATTCTCCAGTGGTGGCTGCAGCAGGTGGGAGCCGGGCCGGGGGGAGCCAAGCCAGGCTGGGGGAGCAGTGGCAGCTCCCTGCAGCCCGGCTAGACCCCCTGCAGCACTAGATGGGGGGGCTGGCGCGCCTGCAGGGAAGAGTCTTCTTGTGACGGCCGCCGCCAGGTGGCACAGCCCCGTCTCCACCCGACTCTATGGTGGCCGCAACAGCTGAGCGCGCCCCGGCCCAGAGCTGCCAAGCCCACGTGCTGCGCTAGATCCCCGGGGCAGCCTGGCTTGCTTCCCGGCTGCCGTCCCCGCCCGGGCCAGGCCGGGCCGCTCTGTGAGCCATGGGCGCGGCGCAGGAGGCCCAGGCCTGCCTCACCTTGTACCGGGGGCTCGGGCAGAGGGAGCTGCTGTGGGATCTCTGCTGGGCCGTGCTGGCCTTCCTGGAGAAGCTGGAGCAGTTCGCAGGGTGAGTGCTTGGCGCCACCCCCTCCCTCCAGCGCTTGCGCCGCCATACAGCTGATCAGCGCAAGCCTGGGAGGGAGGAGGAATGCGGCGTGCTTGGGGAAGAGGCGGGGCCAGGGTGGGGATTTGGGGAGGAATCCAATGGGGCAGTGAGGGGGTGGGGCTGGGGGCAGGGCCAGGGCGGGGATTTGGGGAGGGAAGGAGGGGGTGGAGTCGGGGCAGGGGGCGGCATGAGCCCCTCCAGGCTCCGCCTGTGCGCCGGAGCAGAGGGCAAAATTGCTTGTTTGTCCAGTGTCCTGACCGAACATCGGTCGGGACGCGGGACAAACAAGCAAATATCGGGACAGTCCCGATAAAATTGGGACGTCTGGTCACCCGACTGCTGAGCCATACTGCTGCTACTATTTCACTTTCAAGTAGACAAGTTGTTACACAACCACGCAAATCTACTTCAGAGCCCTACCTGATTTCTCCATGGGAAGGACAGCAGTCCATGTGTATAACTAGGTCAAGTGCTCTGTAGGGCCAGGGGAGGGACAGCAGAGGAGAGATTCCTGCAGCCCATGGTACATCCTCCGTGGATCTGGGGGAGGGACGCTGGAAGGAATCTAACCCCTATCCAGGATGTGGTGAGGGATGCTAGTGACCCCCGACCATGGGAGAGGAGGAAGAAGGGTTACTTTTCAAGCACTGATGAGTGACTGGTGGTTTGAAATTGACTCACAGGTGGTTCCTGGGCTAGGGAGTCTTCTTAGAGAAGGAATCAAAAATATTTTTTTTTCTTGCCCATGGCTAGAAAGCTTTCTCGCAGAGTGAGCTGTTCCAGATCTAAATACAAACCCACACTTAGTCCGTAAGCATGTCACTTACCAGCTGCCATATCCAGATATCGGTATTCTTTTTGCTTCCTTCACTTACTCCTTGTCCATAAACTACAGCCTAAAACATAAAATGGGGGAAAGGTCATGGATTTTATCCCAGGGACTGAAGTATATGTGAATCTTCCTACAGTATGTAAAACATTTTATTTTTAGGGGAAGTGTTTGTAAAATGCGAGATTATTTTATGTACACTGTTGGAATTCACATTACATTTGCTAATCTCTTAAAGATACCTACTGATAAAAGGAGAACTGATCACACCTGCCACTCCTTATGCTCCTCCATATCCTCACTTATCTGTTTCTTTTGCCTCCTCCCTCTCTCAGCTTTGCATCTTTCTTCTTGCCACCTCCTACTCTTGGAACAAACACCCTCGCTTCCTGCCACATGGGGCCTGATCCAAAGCCTGTTGAAGTCAATAGGATTTTTCCCATTGACTTCAAAGGGCTGCAGATCAGGCCCTGTGTGTCCTCCTTTTCCTCCTTCAAAGCCTTATTATTCCTTCTGTCTGCATTGATCTCTCTGACAGCACTTCCATGCCTTCTGTCACTGGAACTGTCTCATATCTCTGAGTGTGATTCTAAGTAATCCAGGGAAGACCTGTTACTTTCTACATGCTTTGTAGAGGACTGTGTATGTTGAACAGACACCAGATACTAACGACTTTACTCTCAAGTGGGACTGCATTTGAACTGGTGATCGAGACATGAAAGGCTCTTCCACTGCTGATCCCCTGAATCAACCAGTCCCTTATCCTCTCCTATTTTATGATTAAAGAGAGAAATCACATGATTAACAAATCAAAGTTGGCCTTGGTGCCAAGAATGTTATCTGAAATGAAGGGGGTATAACGAACAATTTTTATAGCATTTTGCTACTTATTAATTTTACGTAAGAAAAAAGTGGGGGCGATTATCAAAACAGACATGGAAATGGTTGCCTAATTCCCGGTGATGTCCAATGGGAGTTGGGTACCTGACTGCCATTTGTGGCTTTGAACACTTTCCCATGTCTCTTGAAAAAAATAAAAGCTTCTACCTCTGTCTCAAAATTGTCTCCAAACATGGTCAAGGATTTCTTCTGATTTATTTCTCCACGATGATCATTTAGCCAGATTTGGAAGGAAAATGGATCCATGACTCCAGTGGCATTTAGTGGGAAAGGGGTGTCTTTCAGGAGATCATCTGCAACCAAAGCAAAAGGTTAATAGTGGTGAAGCTCTCTTCCACTTGGTCCTTGCTGATCATTCTCGATGCCTAAGCCAGTTGTAAACACAGATGTCGGCTAATGAGGATGCCAATGACAAGTAATGTGTGCTGTTATAGAATCTTAATTTTGTATTTGATGTTATGGATAATATGCATGTTTCTGTGCACTGACGGAATGGCACTTTCCATAATATGGCTGGTGAATTACGTTTCCCATATGCTTAGACTAATAACAAGACCAGGCACATAGGTTTTATCCAAATCACGGCTCGTAGCCTTCTTTCAATCTCTTTTCAAAAGTGGTTTGCATGAACACATGACACAGGGTATTACAATTATATTCAGAAATTATGCTATAGATATACAAGGGTTCACAGCTTGTTGCATATTTTCTGGTAGCAGGTTATTCATTCCCTTTCCACACTGGTCCCTAAAACGGGTACAATCATGCTGATAGGCTGATTCTCATCTCTATGACTTCAGTATGACCTCTGTGTAAATAAGGCCTGTTTTTCACATATTCAGTAATGGAATTCTCTTCATTTCCTCTCCACCATGTGTTCCGAGGCATTATGAAGGTTGAGTTGACAAGAGTGAAACAAATCAATTATCACAGTCTTAAATTTAATAAAGAATCTTTCTCATGATGTTCATGCAGTTGTAGTTGGAATTAATTTCCAGTAATTCTCCTTCATAACTGGTCTATTTTAAAACAGCTAGAGGGCTGAATGCAGCTTCAGTTTTGCTAATGAGGTTCAAGGTTTGTCTTAATTTCAAATAACAGCAACACAACTTCAATCATCCAAAATTATTGGAGGGCTGGAAAAAAAACCTGCTGTACAGCGAGACTTTAAAAGCTCAAACTGTTTATGTTATCAAAAAAAGATTGGACTTGATCATGATGTAGAAGTACCTTCATGGAGACACAGTAGCAAGTGGTAAAAGGCTTTTTAATCTAGCAGAGAAAGGCATAACAAGAACCTGTGATTGGAAGTTAAAGATGGACACATTCAAATTAGACATTAGGCACAAATTTTTAACAGAGAAGGTGAATAACCATTGTACAAACTACCAAAGGAGTTGGTGGATTCTCCATCTCTTGATGTCTTCAGGTCAAGATTGGCTGCCTTTCTAGAAGACGTGCTTTAGCCAAACACAAGTTACTGGGCTACATACAGGGATAAGTGGGTGAAATTTAATGGCCTATGTATTGCAGGATGTCAGACTAGATGATCTAATTGTTTCTTCTGCCCTTAACCTCTATGAATCCATCAACCCCCAGTAAAGTGCAGAGATAATGCAGTTATCTCCGGCTATGCCTATACTGGCAATTGAACGACAATGGCGCTCTCCTGCCAACAAAGCTAACCCTGCTCATTGCGGGTGAAAGTTTTTTGTTGGCAGTAGACAAACAGCGGCTACACTGCACGACTTTTAGGCTATGTCTACACTACACCGCTTTTAGCAACATGGCTGTGTCACTACAGCCATCCCTCTAAGGCTATGTCTACACTCTGGCAATTGAACAACACTTTTGTCTTTCAGAGGTGTTAACTTCCCCCCCACACACACACACCTGAAAGACAAAAGTTTTGCCGGGACAAGTGCCGGCAGGAACTGCTAGGTAGAATGTTCTGAGAAGGAGTGGAAAATGTTTCTGGGGTGCTTTTTCAAGTAATAATCCCATGCAAGTAGACGCAGGAAAAAAAGTCTCTGACTCCCAAAGGCATCAAGGTAATCAACACGCAACTGAATCTTAGGCTTTGTCTACACTACCAAGTTTTGTCACCTAAAACTGCCTTTTGGCGACAAAACAGTGAGTTTGTGATGATGCGATCCCACCATTCAGTGCTTGTTTCCCTAGCCCAAAAGTGACGGTCTACCTTATGCAGCTGCTCTGTGAATGCCAAAAGCAATGTAAAGTTGCTGCTACCCATTTCATACAGACTGACGGGGGGAGGGATAGCTCAGTGGTTTGAGCATTGGCCTGCTAAACCCAGGGTTGTGAGTTCAATCCTTGAGGGGGCCATTTAGGGATCTGAGGGAGGGAACTGTCAGGGACAGTACTTGGTCCTGCTAGGGAAGACAGGGGACTGGACTCTATGACCTTCAAGGTCCTTTCCAGCTCTATGAGATACTATAGATATATATATATATTTATTTATTTATTTATATGGAGATATACCTGTTGGGTGCCTGCAAATCTTCCTCTGTCAGTAATTTCATGATTAACTGCACTGCCATGCACAATGTCCTCATGACACCTAACAGAGCATAGTAGAGCAGTGCAGGATCCATCCCTTCTCACAAAGATGCCAGGGTGCACAGCAGAGAATGGCCATGGCCATTGCAAAAATGCCGCGAAAGGAAGCTGGAAGCCCATGGAGTGCTGGGACACAAAGCAATGCATCACAGGACATTTAGTTAGGTCCCAAGATGCGTCACGACGACCCACTCCACCTTCCCACAACATCTAGCGACAGAAGGTCTCACACTGCACTGTGGGATACATACCCACAATGCATTGCTCACACTGTCAATGACGGTGCCCCCAATGTGGATGTCATCTTTGCCAGAGGGGGGCTAGTGTGAACAAGCTTTTCTGATTTTTATTAAGTCGACTTTTGGGTGTCAATATAAGTGTAGTCGACAAAACTTGGTAGTGTAGACAAAGCCTGAGTCCCAGCACAGATAATGTTGTGATTTTTAGAAATGCAGTTTCATTCTGTTGATTATATGATGTTCTCCTTCCTTTTTTCTAGAAATTACAAACCTCACTGAATGTGTTATCACAGCATGGTATCTTGAATGTAAATTGCCACAATTTTTTCCCAAAAGGCCATCTTGTATATGATCCTTGTACAACAGTTTTTATGAAAAAGGTCAGTGCATGAAATGCAATGCACCGTGTTAAACAAGCGATCACAGTTTAATGGATTATGATATGCACCAAGTATTTGCAGCCATATTCGTCCTCGAGAAAATGTGGACAAGGTAAAACCCCTTTCAGCAGCTTTTGATCTAGAAACATCTTCTTCTGTCATATAAATTAAAATCTCTATTATATCAATGCATGTTAAAGTAAACAGGTTAACAAAGCTCCATTTATAAGCAAACCATTTATTTCTGTAATGCTTCTCTCCATTATATAAAGTGTTAACACCAAAAGAAGGAATCTTTTGGTTAAGCCTCTTGTTACTTAACATTTATTTTAGCAAAAGGCATCTTATTCTGTCTTATCCAGCTCAATTGCTGAACAATTTTGTTTTTGTAAAACAAAACAAAGCAGAAAAAACCCTAGAAATGGAGTGACACCATGAGGAAAAAATATGGCAGTAAATCAGTTTACTTTAAGGTGGGACCGCAAACACTAATAAGAATAAATTCTATTTGCATGATTATTGCATGGTGTCACTACAGGGCAGAGTAAAGATTGTCTGGGTGCCTTAACTGTCCATTTTCATACCTGAATATGTTTGGATTTCTTTTAGGTTTAACTTTAACTCTGAATTTCCTAGGTTCATAATGCTCGTTTTTGGGATAATTACCACATGCATATAATGTTCTTCATCCTTAAATTATAGATATGGATTCTCAACTTCAGCTACATCTTAACATAGTTTTTTTGGCTAGGAATGTATGTAAAATATTTGTATAAGTCATATTTACACATAACAGCAGAGAGAAATTGAAGACATTCCACCATGGTACTTAGTGCAATTTAGTGTTCTAATTGATTTTTAAATGCTTTGTTTGGTTAACAGTAATAGTCTGCTTTATTGAGCGCTATTTAGATAGCTGAGTTATTTCCAATGTCACAGAACATATGGCACTGTTTAACTGGAAAAAACTTTCTGGAGCCCAACAAGTAGCTTAGTCTTAGTGCTCCCTATCATGTGGGAGACCTGAACATGGTGGCAGTGTTTCTCAATCCAGGCTGATATGGGAGGAGAACAGTGAGGTGTATCAGCAAGTTCAGCTCCTCTTGGGACATTACTTGGCAGGGAGACACTTGGTTTCCAGTTGTTAAGGTTCCCAGTGAGAGGCTTAAAAGGGAGAACAGTGGTCTTGGCCTGGCGGAATAGTAGCAATAGTTTGGGAGTTTGAGGGTGAGCATAGAGATAGTTTAAGCAAGGGAAACTGGGGGTCTTTGTGGGTTCAAATGAGATGTGAAGAACCCTGCAAGGAGAAACCCCCTACCTTGTTTGTTTTTCTAAGCAAGAAGTGGAAACTGATCAAAAATGGAAAGAGTCAGTCTAAGTATGGGCCCAGGAACCGATTATAACCCAGGATCTACTGCTCACTCATTGTGGGGCCTGTTTTGCCAGCCTTACTCATGCTAGTGTCTCACTGATGGACTCCAATGTGGCGGCCAACAAGGTGTCGTAACTTATGGTTGGTATAGGCCTGCAGCAAAATCACTACCCCACCCTCTGCCAAGGCAAGTGCGATGCAGGGAAGGGATTGTGGTTCTGAGGGGTTGTCTTAGGCCCAAAGAGGCTCAGTTTGGGCTGTTGCACCTTACATGCCCCTCCTGTCCCCCTTGCTTGCAGCTGTGCCGAAAGGCACACTGTAGCCCTTAACCAATGGTTTCAGTTAAATCCCATATGAGATGGAGGATAACGTTACTTTCAGGCAGGGAAGCTTAGATTCACAAAGTACTTAGGTGCCTAAGTCTGGGTCTAGGCTCCACTGTGATTCACAAAACTCCTGCTGAACTTTGTAGGTACCTAAACTTATTTGGCACCTATGTTTTTGCAGTAAATAGTTCCTTAGGCACCTGGGTTTCTGTCTCTGGGCATGCACTCGAGGCATCGCTCTAGGCATTGGTCGCCTGTCCCCGCCTAAGCCCACAGTGATTCACAAACCAGGGGAAGATGGGCATTCAGCCACCGAACTCACGGGATTGGATAGGCCTGCTCCGAGGCCGCTTACTGGATCTGGCCCCTCAGGTGAGTTCAGACAAAACAGTGGAG